GGCGTAATGTCCTTTGAAATGACCACCATTCATTTCCCTTTCATTGACACTAGCATTCAAACAATTCCCAGCTAACGTTACATTAGCATGAAATAATTCCTGGCTGCTATGGCCAACTGGCTGAATCGTAGCAAGCTGAAATTGCTGATAGCTTAAATTATTATCAGCTTTTATTTATGTGTAAGTATCAAACTGTGATATCAGGAAGTGGTTGAATGCAAATGTTAGCTGTTGTCCAACTGTTGCTAGAGAGTAATGAAATGTGATATTTCATCTTGAATGGGCTTAATGTTAATTTATAACGTCTTAAGTGGTAGTGCAGTCTGCAGCTTGTGTCCTAGTTTGACTCCTTCTCATTTTTAACCCCGTGTGAATCTTCTGTTATAGAAGTGCTGATGTAACCTCCCAGAGTCCTGTGTACCCACACACGTGTACTAAAGCCTCACCCACTTCCACAAACACACATGATCCCATGAGTTAGGAGACTGAAGGAAATCACCCTGCTCGCCATGTTCCATAAAAGTGTACAGGATATCCTCTATGAGTAAACGCCCCACAGGCTCTCCTCCCAACACCCTCACGGTATCTCACCTCATATTGTTCCTTTTTTCAGATTATTATTTAGTTATGATAAGAAATGGAGCCGTGAATGCAGCCAGCACAGGGAGTTCAGGAAACTGAACTGACGGGGGAAGCCCCACCTTCAGTCGTCCCTTGGGAGGATCTCTGACAGGTGAAATTATTCAACATGATGGGAACACAGGTCAAGCAGAGGTTGATGTAACAGAGATAGATGAACCTCTTGAGTCAGCTTATCTAGGTGAAGGTTTATAATGGCTGAACCGACAGCAAGGTGTTAAGAGGATATCCACTACTGTCATAATGTTTATGTAGAAACAATCTAGGCAACTTGCATAAATGGGTAACTTTTTGTACCTCATCAACTATAGATATATGGACTTGTAACCCTATGACCTTTGGTAGAAACACTTTCAAACCACATTTTAAAAGATGTACTGCAAAGGATGAATTTTCTGGATAAAGTAATAGCATTTAAAAAATGTGAATGTCCCTACTCAGATAAATACATATTTTCATGGCTAATCTATGGGTTACAAATATTAAACTAATTGCACTCATCATTTTATTTTTTTTTGGGGGGGGGTGGCTTATATGACGCGTGCCCCAACCACTCGGCCAGGCCACCGGCGCTCTGACGCGATTTTTTTTACATCATTATAATAATTCAATACTAATAAACTAGTAGTCTAGTTTTATTCTGAATATGAAGTTGAATACTTTCTTGTGGTGAGGTTGGAAAAAGTGGTCACTCACTCATATGTTTCACAGAATTTGCTCACATACAAATAAGAATTCATCCTTACGTGCACATTGAACTGTTTTAAAAGTAAAAGTAGGGATAAGACTATGAGTATAATCTTTATATTTATTATATTTTATATTGAAGAACACAGTAAAGCACACCTGAGCGTTCTATGTATTTTTGAATTTCCCTCTGGATCAATAAAGTATCTATCTATCTATCTATCCATCTATCTATCTATCTATGTACACCTTTATAGATGTCTAAGTAGTCTATAGATTCTCTCTAACGTGATTCAACAGTGTTTTCTTGCACCAAGACATCATGGACTCCATAAATTCCTGTTTCAAATCATATTGGGGCTCTGTATAATGATTACCTTCTCAGAGAGGGTCATCCAAGTCTTACAACCACTGCAGCAGTATGTCTGCCAGCGTATATTGTCCACGCAGCTTTTAGGCCAATTTAAAACAGCTTACTATTAAAGAGTCAAGGACAACCGTTTCTCCAAAGAACTGTCATATTAATAAAATATGTATACAGTATGTGAGGCCTGGATAGAACTGAGAGACCACAAGGCCTTTTCTCTGTGAACTCTTTATATCTCCTTTAGTCTCATTGCTTTTTCCCAGAAACAATATATTCTAAACATTGTTTGTGTATTCATTTTCTGGATTTGTTCAGATGGTTCAGATGGTTATTTAGATCAACTTTGACACCCCACCCTTTGGGCTTTAGACCTCAGATACAGAGGTTTGTGCTACTTCCTGCCTCTAAATGTGTGTTGTGCTAAATTCCTGTTTGTCTTAAACAATCAAGCAAGTGGCTTTCAATATGAGGTATAAAGTAGAGGTGGAGAGGTATGTTTTAGAAAAACACTAAACGTTTACTGAAAAAGCCAACTGTTTAAACGTTAATTAGTTGTTGTTTTTTAACGTGGTAACGTGCACATGTCACTGCACAAAGCACTCTGCAACAGCGATGCATATACAAGAGGGATGTACGGACAGTGAACCTTATCGCTCCCTCTGTCTTTCTCTCTCTCTCTGCTGATGTGATTCTTTTTTTTTTTTTTTAACGGGATCTGTGAAGTCCTCTCGCGTAAGCAATCTTTCGCACGCTCTTTCTCCCTTGCTGTCTTGTGCATGCAGCAATATGCAAAAAAGAAATGCAGAAATATACTTGGGCAGCCCGCCCAGGTATCGTCTATGTGTGGGAACCACTGCTTACAAGCCGGCCGTCAACGCACGCACCACCTCTAGTTGCTTTTTATATCTTTCAAAGTTCTAAAACCCACAATAGATACTGCAGGTGAAGGATATACAACGCACACAAATGTCAATTCAATACTGTACTACTAAAGCATACTCCCCTAATTGTTGGTATTAACGATGAACAAAAACTAGCCAAGCACCACTGAGATACGGGTCCAAATGGCTTCAGTAAAGCACATTCATCCCTCTATGTGCAAAGGTCTCTGTGTTTACAGCGCTATTTAAGGAGCACCGAGACACACACACACACTCACACACACACAACCGCGTCTAGAGTCACAGTCAAGTAACCACACTAGCACATGCATGCACATATTCACATAATGTTAGTCACAGTGCAAAAACACACACACTTTCCAGATGTTGTTTGAGCTCTCCTTCTTTCTGTTGCTGAGCCAGCCCAGAGTGTGTATCCATGTTTAGATAAATATACACTGGTTGGTGGAGGTGTGTACTTCACACATCGTGTGTTTTGCTCTAATTGAGTACTACAGAGTATTTGTAGCATATGGTTTACAGTGTAGCCCACATGGGCCTGCAAAGGCTCTGAGAGGCCACACACTTTGTTACATATAGTACTGCTCATATATACTGTATGTATATATAGGTCGGCCATTTAAGTGCACAGAAGGTGATATCACACCAAATCACGCACATGCAGATAATTTTACCCATGCATGTCGAGGTGCACAAATACATTAGCATGCATCCATGCATCCGTGCCCAAACCAACAAACAGGTTAACTATTCATAACACAGCTGCCAGGATGCATGATACACATCATGTCAACTCTTACAAAATTAATTCAAAGCATGATTGCAAAGCAACCATGACAACACGCAATATTCCAGTGACGTGAACACCTTGGTCGATGGGTGTGATGGTGTGTTGGGTGAAGGACAGGAAATGCAAATACGGAGTGTGCACACCGCTCTGTTATTCATCTTTAGACACCTTAGCAGCAGTTTTATGAAATAGGCAGACTGCATCATAAACACACAGTGTTATTCTGTGGCGAGGCGACCTCTCAGGTGTTAGGGTTAAGGGCCACTGGGTGGGCTTGGCATTCTGTTAGTGCCCCTAAGAAAAGAGCTTTTCATTCAAATGGGGCTTTCCACAATTATTATGGTCAATAAAAAAAAGCCAGGCACGGGGGCTGTTTTAATGCACCCCCATAAACTTTGTGCTCTGATGTCTGACAGTATCTCCTATAGAGGTGGAAATGTGAACTTCCAGTCACTCTTGCTTTTTATCTTCCTTTCACAGCTGATTGTGAACCAGCTATTACATTCACTGCTAGGATCTTAATTATTGGTGCTGAAATGATAAATATGACCTGGAGTCAGGATCATTTCATCACAAATCTTATTCGCAGTCTATCTTGGCTCCAAACCAGAAGCTGTAGAAAGGCACTCATTCAAGACCAAACAGTACTTTGAGCGATTCATCCCCATTTGTTTGTTTCTTTTTGGGAGATTCAGGGATAAGAAACATTATCGCATATCCCACAGGGGAGGCAGTGAATTTGGCCAGCTTTGGTATTTCATCACTTCAGATAATTTTGTCAACACCTTTTTTACTGCGTTTCTCTTTCACCTCAAAGAACACTCTCTAAACTGGCTTCAACAGCTTCAAGTGTAACCATACCCACCACATCAAAACGCTGGTTTGTTGTTGTGCATCCAAAAAGACCCACTCTTAATGCTGTAGAGTACCTTGTCAGATATGTCCCCCAAGCTTAAATTCCAATGTTCGTCCACCAGATAAAACGGTGTCAAGGAGGGCGGGACTCTGATTCCCCAGAGGCGCCGTCATATAACCCTAATGTCAACTTTCTCCAGGAAGTCTCTCAGGTTTTTTCTGTCAGCAGCAACTACAGAAGTGACTGCACTTTAATTAACATGCCAGCAGGTTTGTAGAGGTTGTTTACTCGAAACGGAAGCTTTGAAATCTCACTCATACTGTGATCTCTCTGTAGCAATGACAGAGTAACAGGCCAATGAAAGAGACACAGAGGATCATGTCTGATTGCAGGTTAACCTGGTCAAAATCACCGTGTGACTTGTTGTCCACTTTCACTGTCAGGAAATCTAGACCTGAGGGCCACTTTGGTTAAAAACGCTCTCGGGGAATGACAGGGTCTGTTGTCTGCGTGAATGCTTGCGCGTGCATGTACTAGTGTGTTGGGGGCAGGGGGAAACACACACACACACACACACACACACACACACACACACACACACACACACACACACACACACACACACACACACATACAAACACAGGACATGAGAGAAAAGGGGGGAGTGTGTTTCTGGGAGGGGAAGAGAAGGGAGGAGGCTCGCCTTTTTCGCTCTCTCGCCCTCCCTCTCTGTGAAGTCTGGATGCAGTGATACAGAGAAGTCACAGAAATTAAGCTGCGACTCGAAAGGGAGAGTTGTGGGCTACTTTTTCATTGACTCTATTTAGGAGTTAACGTAGAGCTGCTAAAAAGTTGAAAGAAAAGGGAACTTTTGTGACCTTTGATGCCTGGAAAAATGTCTGATTCTGGAGTCAATCCACACCTGGAGGGAATAATTTCAGATTTTGAAGGTTTGTTTTCTTCTTATTCATCTTATTATATTCATGTTTACACTTTATTTTGAGAAGCAACATCTGTCGCAGGCATTCTGTTTGTGAATACTATTAAAATCAACCAATGTCGTTCCACTTTGTGTCTGTGTGTGCCTGCTTAGTACCTTTAAATCTGATTCTTTATTTTCATGTTTGTGTTTGTTGGCGTGGCTGTTACGAGTTAAAACAGGGTGGTGGGCATATGCTAGCTAATCCCTTGAAGCCCATAGTCTGTCATTGATTATAGCCAGCTTACGTCAATAATAGCAACAAACAGCACTGACACCAGGCTATTCTAGCACCGGAAAGCCCTCAGCTGAAAGCACTGAGAGGAAGACAGTGGAAACCTCAGCCCTAAGAGCTAACATCTGTCCAACCCCTTTGCAAAACAGTCACAACTATGTCACTCCTTTGTTTCCTAAGCCCCAGTCGGAGCTGGCATTAATATCCTTTGTCTTCATCTTCCTCTACCGGTACGTCTTTCTTCCTTCCTTGCGTCTTTCCTGTTCTTCCTACAAATCAGTGTGTTCCTCCAGATGGCGTTTCGGCCTCAGATGATGGGCAGCTGATGGCGTCCTGAATTCGTTCTTTTTAGGCAAGCATCACCATTAGCAGGTGGAGGAGTCATAAGTTGTAACAAAGATCAGAGAAGTCCGTTTTGGTCTACTTAATAAGATAATATGGTTTGACATTGTCTACAATGTGTGAACATGCTTGACTGTTACCATAGTGATGGCTATGTCTTTGGAAATATCTTTCAGATGTCACTGGTCAGTTGAAGCAGGGTTGAGGGGTCAGTATTTGTCCAATGAAATGCATGTAGTGTCATTGTTCTGTTGCCCTCTTAATTCATACCTTTTCCATGTCACAGTTGGTAGAAGAGAGGGGGACAGTTTTTTTTTTACAGGAAAACAACAGTCCCATTGAAACATTACGTCATAGAGGGCTTTGCCAGGTGGTCGGAGAACAGAGAGTGTAACTGGATTGATTTTCTCACTTTTTCATTTACTTCACAAACCAATGTTTAATTTGGTTTGTTTGTGGTACTGACTGTCCTAACGGCGATTGCCTTATCCCTTGCCAGAACAATTCCTGTGTTTCATGTCTCTGCATTTGATTCAGAGTTAAGAGAAGTTTGAATGCTTTCACCATTTGATGACATGTCATACAAACTCTCATTTTAAACTCCTACCTGCATTTATTGGTACAATTTTCAACAGCAAAATTATATGGGCCTTATTTTCTAATCTACAGTAAGATTATAATATTATTCACAGTGCTTATTGTAATCTTATGATTAGTCAGTGGTAGACAGATGTAATATGATGGCGGAGCGTTTTTGAGCGAGCGTTAATTCTGAATTGGATAATTTGTTTATTCAGGGTGACACAACGAGGCAGCAAAGCAGAATTAAATTAGATACAACTAAATAAAGTTAGCGTAGTGGTAATACTACTACTTCTTGCCTGTGCACAAGCTGAAAAATATATATTTAAAGAAGCATCCACATCTGACAGACAGCTTTTTAAAAAAAAGACTCATACATCCATTTTCTCCCTCTTATTGGTTGGGGCGGCTGGCTAAGCAAGGCAACCCATACAGCCGTCTGCCCCAGCAACGTTTTCTAACTCCTCCAGGGGGATTCCCTGTCCCACTCGGCACCCCAGGTCTCCTCCTAGTTGGACGTGCCCATCCTTATCAGATGCCTGAACCACCTTAACAGGCTCCCTTTGATGCAAAGAAACAGCAGCTATACTCTGAGCTCCCTCTGGATATCTGAGCTCCTCAACCTATCTCTAGGTTGAAGGGAACTGATTTTGGCTGCTTGTGTCAGCGCAATCGTAGATGAGCCTTTGAACAAAGATCGACTGATAAATTGAAAGCATTGCCTTCAGGCTCAGCTCCCTCTTCACAATGACGATCCAGTAAAACCCCTGCGCTACTGCCAATGCTGAAACAATCCGCCTGTACCCCAACTCGAGAACGCCCCAACTCGTGGACAAGACATTGAGATACTTGAACTCCTTCACTTGAGGCACAGCTGTAAAGAGAGGTGCACAGAAAACACTTACACCATAACAGAAACTCAATGATACAAAACACCATAACAACGACACACTGAGGCTATATTATGATCTTGTAAAAGCGCTCAGACTAAACTAATTAGTCACCAGAGAATGAGCCCAGAATGAGCCCATATTTGTTTATGCAAAGAGTTTTCAGATTCATACATTAAGCTTCTGCTATGTTTGCCAACCTAAGCTAAACTTTGAGTCCAATCCAAAGAACTTTGCTGTAATGATCTGCTAAAAGATGCCATGTTGGTGCTCCAGTGTGGCATATTGACACAGACAGGAAATTAACATTGAAATGGAGAGGGTGTGTCCAGTGTGTTAATAAGGTGGTTAGAGTGTGTAAAAAAAACACCTCCTTAACAGTTCTAAGCAGCCCTGTTGGTTCTGGGCATATTGAACTACAGGTGGCACGAAAGATTAAACCAAATGTAATTTCTAAATGTACTCTATATGACTTTTACTGCCCGTTTGACTTTTAATTTCCTGTCTCTACTCCGTCTCATACACACATAATCTGAAACACACTGCTTAAAAGTTTGTTTTTTTTATCTAGGTGTGCGATTCATACGAAGTGTTTTTTTTTTTTTTAGGTTAAACATTTTTCAATCTTAAGGGATGCATTATGTGGAATGCAGCCACCGTCGTTGTACCTTCACTGGTCACTGATGTCGATCATGACATGTATAGTAAACTAGAGCCTGATGAAAGGAGCAGAACAAGGCCATACCTGTCAAAGGTTGAGGGCTGGAGTGCCCGAGGCTAAGCACCAGGACAGCTATTCAGCAGCTGCTTGAATGACTTTGTGTGTGTGTGTGTGTGTGTGTGTGTGTGTGTGTGTGTGTGTGTGTGTGTGTGTGTGTGTGTGTGTGTGTGTGTGTGTGTCCTCCTAAATCTCCATCAGGTCAAATTGTCTCCCGGCCCTGATTCAGAGTCGGGTCTTCCTTCTTTACACCTCTTACAATCCCAGAATTCCTTTGCGCTGGACTCAGGGTGTCGGCTAGACCAGGAGCGAACCACACAGTAAATCTGACACAGGGAGCTGTCCTACTGCTGGTCAGCATTAGTAAACCCAACTCCATCAGTGGGCAGTGAAAAGGAAGTGTGTGTTTGACAGCGTAGCATTAAGGCTTCGTCTGACCGAGAAGAATACCAAAGTGTAAAATTGTATCGTTGGTTGTTTGGCCTTGTCTTGTCGAAAGGTTTTGACCACATCGACTTGTATTCTGCAGCTACTGACATTGATTAAACTCCACTGTGCATGTACTGTTTTTGTAAAACCAGTGTTTGACAGTGAGTTACCTTCTTGACCACTTGACTTATTGTCTGGGGCTACAATTACAAGACGAATCAAAAGTTCAAGGCAGTGTTCACATCAGTAGCCTACATTCTTTATTAATTTAAATAATGGTGCGTTTTTGTTTTGTGCTGTAACTTAACTACACAGTAGTAGACTGTTTTGGCTCAGGGCTCAAATGTACGACGTCTCTTCCAAAAAGCACCGTTGACAGTATATAAAAAATGGACGTAGTCACAGCGATGTCATCCCATAATTTCTGAAGGCAGTCGCCATATTGGAAATGCTATCTCAGGAGTCTAAGTTTGGTACCACAGACCATGCTGCTGAATTTGACAGGTTGAGGGAGAAAATGGGCTGCAATTACATATCAGCATGGCAGTCGAGTCCACATGAATTAAGCTTTTCTTTCTCAAAAGCATTGTTTATTCATGGAAGAGAATGTGTTTCATAAAGGAGTAAATAGTATTTGGTTCAGAATATTTGACATTTGATCAAACCCTAGACACAAAACAAAGAGACTGGGTTTACATCTTCTGTCGAAGGAGTGAAAACACATTGGTGAGAAAAAATTAAGTGAGAATGTCGTCTTGACCTGTTTTAACCTCCCCGTCTCTCTCCCTGCCTCTCTATCTGCTTTCTGTTTTCCCTTCTGCTTCTGTGTGTTTTTTAAACGCTCCACTATCTCATATTTGTGCATCTGCGCTGAGATGATACCAAATGTTTGTGTGCATTGGTCAAGATGTCCTTGAGAGAAAAGTGATGACAATGATGATAAGATGCAGCCGAGGACGAACACCTGGGCTGCATTAGGACAAACGACCGTGAACTGAAGCGAGGATACAGCTGCCTCCATCTTTGTTGCATTGTCTTATACTGTCTGTCCTGCATTATCCCCACACACCGAACCGTGTGAGTTACTGGACACTGGGCGGTGATAGGTAGTGGAGTGACATGAGGAGAGGAGACTCCTGGCTGCTGTTAATGAGGCTCCTCTGAGGAAGAGTGAACCTCTCGTTTCTAGCTCATAGTCTGGGAATGCTGTTTCACTGGGAGCGATACTCCTTCATACATCTGTCAGTCCCACACAAATACTCTACCTAAAGCACCACGATTCATTCTATATGATATCCATGCAAAGAAAATCCGGGATGAAAGAGAAACACTTAAGAGCCAGCTGTAGCAGAAGACCCAGGAGTCGGTAGAAATAAGCAAAAAAGTTGACTGATCATCTAAGTGAAAGATGCCCTAAATGCCTTTTTTCCATTTCCATCTATATTCTCAGACAACTTTAAAGTACTGAGATTTCAGCTTCACTTCTGCTCTTAAATGATGTTCACTCGGCTGCACAGGCTCTAAATACAAACAAATGGCTTCAGGGAAAAGCACTCAATTCTCTGCTGTCCCGTGCCCGAAGGCGTATAATCACAAAGCAGCCAAGAACAGAAATACTAATCTAGGATCACTTAACAGGTCTCAGGAAAAGCCATGTTTTTTATTCGGCTCTTATTTAGGCAATTCCAAATGATTGACCCTGATATCCCCTTGCGTTCTTTCTCTCCTCTCATTATGCCTACATTTACAGATCTTACAAAACGTAACAAAGTCTAAAGCGAGTGTCAGGAAATGTTAGAGAGTGCATTGTGTTCTCCCTCGCTATACACAACACAGGCCTAAAGCGTGCATCACAACCTTTCAGCGTCTGCATGAAATCTGCAGAGCACTTTTGGCAGATCAACTTCTTCTCTGGCAAAACTTGAAAGTATACCACAGCCTTGGACTCTCCCTCTCTGCAATCATAAAACACAAGACAGAGAAAAGCAGGGGTTAGAAGGACACAGTCCAGTGGCAATATGGTTTTGAACACAATTTACAAACTGTAATTTTATTATGTGTAATTTTATTTATGTATGTCTATCAAAGATTGGAGGTTCAAACTGTTTTATGGTGCCTTACTGGAAAATTAACCCTTTTCTCATCAGAACTTTAGCTCAGACATGGCTAGAAGTACATGCATTTCTGACACCAGCATCCCTGACTTTCCTTCATGAATGACATTTCATGTTTAACACGTAAGCAGAGGTCATCAATTTAATTGGCCAAGCAATAATCCAAATCAATGATTGACTGTCTACCAAGTCAGATGAAGGTGTTAAGGTCAAACTAACAATGGGCTGATAGTAACTTTTTATTTTCTGGGAATCTCTTAGAAGCTTCTTCTCTTTGAGTCCTTAAAGTTGCAGTAAGAAACATCAACATTCCAACTTTCACCTCTCTGTCTGCTACCTGGCATCACTCCGCTCAGCCCCTCCCTCCATATGATGCATCAAAAACGCACGCCAACCGCTGTCAGAGCTGACTGTCTGTTTCATTCAGCTTGTTCTGGTTGACTCAGGGGACAGAAACACTGACAGCCAATCAACATACATCCAACAAAAGTCAAAACATGCAACTGGTGTGACTGCACAGCTGTTAAGCTCCCAGCATGAACGAGGCGAAGAAAGAGGGCGAGAGAGTGAATGAGAGAGAGAGAGAGAGAGAGCTGCAGACACAACACTTGTACTGTAGAAGCTGGATGATGTTAGATTGTGCAGAATGCTGCAAGCTAACCTAGAGTGGTTGTTTTATTCAGACCGGATGAGATTGTTGATCAGTGGAAATTGATAATTAACTCCATTCTTCCATGTGTTCATCTGCATACATACACTTAATGCAACCTCTGCACAATCCGGTGCCTAGTACGGCCAGCCCAATTTAAAAAAAAAACGTTCTGACATGCTCCTAAATACAAGTACCGTACAATAATCCGAAGTGGCTAAAGCTAACATGCAGCCAAAAAAAGTCTTCTATAGTGAAAAAACACTTACAAGGAAACACAACCTTGATAAAGATCAATAGTTACTTAGGTTGTGCCAATGTGGGATGGAGGTTAAGGAGCTTTGTAACAAAGAACCATAAACTCTTAGAGGTGAGTGAGGATCCATTTATTCCCTTGGTGGACAAGAACATCCTCAGTTTGTCCAGCTGACACAGAAGAAGAATGACGCTTTGGCTCTGATGGGACTTTTTGACAGGGGGTGAATTGTATCAAATGTTGAGTGTTGGAATGGAGCGGCTTATAGCGGTAAATTAGATTAGCGTGTTGGCTCATATGTTTGGGAAGGCGGCTTAGATGTGCTTGACTTAAACTCTGCATCCCCTTAAAACATTTTTGGCTTAACACAGAGTGCGCTGGGGCTGGGGCATGTTCCCCTCCCTGTGGGTGTAGTCACTTAAAAATAAACATCTATACATTCCTGTAACTTGCTCGTTTTTTTTACAAGCACTTTGAACAAAACTACATACAGTTACATGAAGACACGTGCACACTCGGACACGCCACGAGCCGTAAACAGATCAAATAATCACCAGTGTGTTTTGGATTGGAGGAAACAGGAGATGTTCTTTTTGGGGTGGGGGATTGCGTGAGCGGACTGGACTAACTAGTGTGTCATTATGATACCAGCTCCTGGCCTTTGGCTTGGCACAACAAATCCACGATGGGAGTCAAATTCAAGTTGACTTTGAGCCAGTGCACTCTTCCCAGGGGCCGCTTCCATCCCTTACTATCTTCCTCTTGGACAGTGCAGAGATTTCCTCACGTAACAACTAACCGAGGGGGGGGGGGGGGCGATGTGCCTCTATCTCTGTGCTCATGTTGTTCGTAAACAGAGAACTTGGGACTTTCTTTTTTTCCTGACTGGCCTCACAATGAACAATGCTTGGCTGACTGCATGTTGTGAAATGCTTCAGATGACTCTGTTTGAAAACTTTACTTTGCACGGGTAACACAGACATAGCATCTAAGGCATGACAAAATAACGTAGCAGTGACTAAAGCGTCTCATACAGAATCTTTGATCGTGTTGCTGGTGATGGGGGATATGATGGAATTATAAAGGTATGCCTTAATTGCTTGTGCATGCTGTTTCTTCTGTGTTGCCAACCAAATTGCTCCTACAGACCACTCCGCCCACAAACCTCAGGCCTTTTAATACGTGTATACACTTTATTCTACCAGAAGAAAAAGCGTTCACTTTGTTTACTGCACAGTTAAATGGCATGACCTTTTAATGTCATTTTGATGATATTGTTCTTAGTTTCTCTAAACAGCATAAATGGTTTTATAGGGGAAAGATGAGTTGTTTTAGTTAAGACATATCAACAGAGTCGATGTATTTCCATTCTTTTTTGTTTTTGTTTCGTGCACTGGAGGAAATTCACTATGTGTTTTTATATTAGGTTACTTTTTTTACATCCACTCCACAGTTGGCGTTAATGTAATGTTTACTCCACATCTTGTTTTTCTTTATTTTGCTAAAACATGTACATTAAAGTTTATGAGATCCAAGTTACATTTCCGGTTCAGTGGTTTCCAACCTTTTCAGCCTGCGACCCGTACATAAATAAATCGTTTACTTGGGGCCCCACTGTCAAGTTTCCAAAGTACCGCCATAGCTCCACTTGACAACCTAACGATGTAACTTATAATAACTCATCATTTGCAGAACAAGGGTTTAACTTTTGAGTGCCTTTTTTAAAAAAAATCATCCGCTAGTAACACTTTACTTTTCCTCCTGTAGAATTTCCCGGTAAAGAACATATAATGGATTTTGAGTTTAGTTATGTTGTAATGGTACTTTGTCTGTAAAGCATCTCAGTACTTCTTCCTCCTTTGAATGAAACCTTTATTGCCCCTAGGGGAATTTGCCTTGCACAGAGAGCACTTAGTTTCTCTAAGTGAAAGTGAAAGGAAATTGTCAGATAAAATGTAAGAACTCCAAAAATATTGAATTTTAAATGTCATAGAAAAGAGAACAAGCGAAATCTGAAACTTGAGTTACCCGGACTGCAGAATATTTGGTATTTCTGTTAGAAAAAAGATTTAATAATATTTAAAAAAAAGATCTAAATCCTCCAACTACTTCAGCAGTAAAATTACCAACTGACTGATATGTTGTGTTTTTTCCTTCCCTGCAGCTCTGAAGAGGTCCTTTGAGGTGGAGGATGTGGACACTTCCTCTCACCTCTCCCCCGGCTCCCGTCGGACAACCAATTCCCCTCACCGCAACGCCATGTCTCCCACCAGCATCTACTACCGGGACCTGGGCACTGCCGCCACAGCAACCAACAACAACAACCTCAATTACACCCAGCCCCGCTCCATCATGGGCGGAGGAGGTTCCAAGACCCCAGAGCCTGTGTCACGCCGATCTGAACTTTCCATCGATATCTCCTCTTCCTCCAGCAAGCAGGTGGATAACGTCACCAGCCCCTCTTCCCAGCGCTTCGCCACCAGCAGCGCCCTGAAACGCCCCGAAGTCCTCGGCCACTCCAAGACCCCGAGATGAGCCACAAGAGGGAGGTGACTTTTGCCAAAACACCCAATGATTCGCCGGTGATCCGCCGCAACGAGGGCAACAATAACAACAATGGCACCAGCAGGCCCCCCGAGCAGAATCACACTCGCAAGTTTGAGCTCCCAGCCCTGGAGATGTCCGTAAACCTGAAATCAGCATCACCAAGGCACCGCCTGAAAACAACGGCCACCACCCAGCAGTGCACCACCCACATCACCCCAATCCTCACCACAACACCATCGTCACCACCTTCCGTTGCTCCTCACCCAATCACGCTGGGAGGAAATCACCTATGCATGGTAAGTTTAATCATAACTCAGTCTAACCCATCATCCTTCCAGCTTCATTAACATCTGTTAGTACTGTTCAGTGGGATAGCATAAACCATTGGCAGTAATGTGTATGGCATCATTCACATGTCCATGTGGAACATAATGGTTGTGTACAAGATATGTTTACAACTGTTTATGGAACAAAATCATACAGCAACCTTATGGCAAAAAAAAAAAAATGAAGCCAATGCAAAAGTACAGAAAACTGCAGTTCCTTGAGTGTCCACTTGAGGTTGGCTCCAATAGCAAACAAATGTTCACGTATAAATATCCAAAAACAGTTTAAATAAATAAGTTTACAGCCTGGTACAAAACATTTTTTTAGGTCTCCATAGCTCAGGTCTTTATACATAAATCCGTACAGAGTGAATTTCTTTATAACTTATCTGTTTTGATAAAGTTTAGGCTGAGAGTTTTTACCTAATTAAGCATTATAAGTGTGATTTGACTGTTGTAGCTGTTTGCCATGAGGCTACGGACTGTTACTAAACTGACAGTCATCGTTGGGGTTCAAAACGCCTCTTCAAAACGTCACTGAGGCTACGTCATGTTTTATACAGTCAGCGGTAAAACATTTACCTTATTAACAATCATTTCTGTATAGAGCCAATTCATAACAAATGTTATCTAGAGACGCTTTACAAACAAAGACCTTAGTCATTGTTACTTCGCAAACCATGTAAAAAAAAAAAAAACCTTCTTCTTTCTTTTCAGGCTGATTTTTAGTCTTCAAAAATAACCAGCCAAAACCAAACTCTTAAAAGTGAACCAAAAGGTTGACCAGTGGAAAAAGACTTGTTTATTGCCTGTTTATTATCAGTTTATAAATGGAAAAAGGATACAGACACTTTATGTTCTCAGAACCATTTCGCCATAAAATGGTCAAAACAGAACACTATCCAGTTCATCATTAAATGCTTTTTTTTCCTCATTTATAGCATGTAGTTAACTGCTTTTGACCTACTTTTTATTTAGTACTTTAACATGGTACTTCAGTGTCGGCCCAATGAAGAGCCATGCTTTCATATGAAATGAAATTAGAGGAAAACTTTAGCCTTTCAGTGCATTGTAAATCATTTTGGTTTAATATGATCTTTGTTCCATACCCGGAAAAAATAAGACTTTTTATTGTTTACTGTTTTTTGAACTAGCCCTTCCTTACAAGTATTTCTAGTGTTACCAGTTGTTGTTTAGCTCAAGGACAAAGTTTTTGTGGGAATGAGATCAAAGTGTTGAACACTGTGAAAAGAAGTCTCTCAAGTTATAAAAAAAACGAAATTACTTTTCTATTTTGCTTTCAGGAAAAAAGCAACTTTGATTTTTTTCTGTAAGTTAGAGTACACTCCAACCCTACCGGGCAAAAAACATGTCACATTGTCTGACGTTTAGGTATGGCTTCATATCTTTCCTTTCCTTCACCGTTTACACTCAGACAACACACTAACCCCAGTGTCAGATCTCTCTCATTCAAGGGAAGAAATAGGAGCAGCTTGATAGGTCCAGTGTCTGCAAATCTGTCAGTAACACAAGTAACCATGTCCTTGGAGGCCTGTCCGTCCTGCAGACTTAATGTCTGTACTTGTGGTTAGCTATGTCTTCGCTTAATGCTGTATTGGAGCCGGGAATGGTTTTTGTGATGTGATGAAAGCCTGACCTTGGCAGCACCAGAACAGCAGTATGGTTGTCCAACAGTTATTAGTGCAACTCTATGTAACAGAGAAAGGAAACATTTTAGCCCACAGGGTTACATTAGTTAACCTTGCATTAGTGAGATAATGCAGCCGCAGCCACGTTAAAAGTTCATCTCTGAGACTGCATTCTTACTGCAAGCCTTAACGCACAACTCAATTTATTGCGGGGGACATTTTTTTTTGAGGCCTGTATCAGAGTCCCATGTGAACTGGACAAACTCCTGAACACCAGCATGAGCAAAAGAAGAACAACAAAGCTGTCACGCACAACATGGTAGTTACCTTAAACTTGGCTTTAAGGCTAATGACTTTTTCTTGACTCAGCAGCCACAATCAGCGGCCACATTCGGCCATTTCTTTTCATACGCTTTCAAAGGACGGTCAGTTATGATTCAACTCCTCAAGTTTTGCTCGTAAACAAAATGTCAGCCCATATATCTTTAAGGTCTAACACCACGCTGTCCCTCCAATGACTACGTCCATCACAGCTGTCTCCATGTTTGTTTTCATTGAGTGGGAGTGACTGCTGCGCTGTCCCGTCCCTCCAGCGCAGAAATGTGAGTGTCACTCAAGAGTGATTCACATGAGGTCATATTGCAAAAGATGCAGCCTATATCTTAACTAGGACAACATATATGTGGTGCGTTTTGTTTGGAAAAGATAAGACTCCATACGACTTGTGTGGTTCAAACGGACAACAAAAATATCAGATCTGAGTCACATAAGAGCAAAAGAAAAAAAACGAAATTGGGGACACTTTTCTGCGGTATGAACTAGTCTTGTACTTGTACAAATTTGAGCAGTGTATGCTTCCTGTTGCTGATTTATTTCTGTTTCCAAGTTGTATAATAAGGAAGTTTGAAAATAGGTGTAAATCAACTCATGTTTCTTTCAAATCCTTCTCCCTGGAGTAAGCCTTCTCTCCGAGTCCTGTCACTACTACCTACATATTTATAAATGTGTGGAGAGCATAATCAGATATTTCTTAACTTCAACATGTGTTTGCATGGTTATGATGTTTGAGCATAATATGGAGTGAAAATGACACAACAAGAGTGTTTAAAATGAGGCTGAGGGGATTTATTTGATAGTTCTTGCCAGGTTCATCATCATCACCACGAGCTACTCCTTCGACCCTGTCACAATGCTTCGCCTTAGTTACTTTATGTTAATTTGGAGAATACCTATTATTAGAGGTGCTCTGAGCATTACTGCTCTGTGTTTTATGCATGTGTGCCTTTAGTCACGTCCAACAATAAGTGGCTATTAGCATGAAGAATTACAAAACTTCAGTTCAAGGTTTTCTGTCTTGTATTGAATATATCTGTGTCCCCATCGTACCATTCACCACTTTTCTATGTAATTTAAGATTATCTCTTCCTGTCCTGCAGATAACTTGGCAATTAGATGAAGGGCTGCACGTTTTCTTCGGATTTCCCACAGTGCATTTATGTCATAGTGTGTATGTGTGTCTCTGCTTTAGTGTCATGTTGTACCCATAATGTTTGTATTTCATGTCACATTAAGTCTCTGTGTCTATGCTGAAGCTTTTCCACGGCTTTCTCCCAGATTATGGGGCAGGAAAACAATTATTGGTCCCTTAGGGGGAGGCCCTAATAGGAGTCTAAATGAAGGGTGACCTGCCTTAAGGGGCTGTGAGTGAGCCCACCCTGCTCTGTTACAGCACATTATCAAGAGAGCTAAAAAGAGTTTAAACCACTTTATGTTCCATAGACTTCTAGGATGGAAGTTATATCCATGACCCCAATACACATTGGTCATATCCCCTCTTGATACCACTATAAGGTTTTCTATTTTTCTCCTGCCAGGAACTTTTGGTCCGTGTCGATTTTGGCACCCTCCGTGGATTGTTCATGCATTTTTAGTCTATTTTAACAAAAAAAATCTCAACTTTGTCAGATGAATCACTCATTAAACAAACTTTGCGATGGACAATGTAAAAGCAGTCTGTCTCTGCAGCTCGCTGTTAACCGCTTCTTTTGACACATAGCCTAGTTCACATAACGTCGGTACTAGAAATAGGGATGCTGAGGGTGCTGCGGTAGTACCCTTTAAAAATCTTTTAAACCACTGTCTGATAGACACATTTAAACTTGTGTTTCCCCCTCTTTTCATGGGAAACATAAATGTAGTTTACCAATATATTTGAATTTGTAATTTACTGTGTTGGTCTGTAACTTCTCACACACAATGAGGTGTTTCTGAGAGGTCTTAACAGAAAGTAATCGAAGATGTTCGATCATCCTGTTAGAGAGGGCGGCATCAGTACACTAGGATTTTGAATTTTGGCTGATTATTCATTTCAACTTTAGTCATCTTTAATTCAGCTCCTGAAAGAGAGCGAGGTAAAGAGAGCTTATATGAATTAGCAGGATGAGGTAGTGTGCCGTTACACACAGAGGTGGACGGTTAAGAAACAGAAACTTCATTCCATCATCTGACTCTATTTTTTCGAGGTGTGTAACCAACACTGACACAAGACAAATGATGTCTCGCTTAAACAGCTCCAGCGTGCATTGAATCCACGCTTCACGCTCATTGCTCTGTTTATTATAAACTATAAACTGGTCATATGCCGCGTCTGTGTGAACGTTCAGTGTGAAGTTTGTCTGCTGAATTGTAAAATGTTCTTAAATGGTATGAGCTGCCCCAACTATGACTTACTTCTATAGCAGTTTCAAGACATAAAAATGTAGTAGGTTATAAAGAAGCATCAATATTTATTTCAGTCTGTTTCATAACCAGCTAAAAGACCCCTCACTGGAGCTTTAACATAAACATGAAACCTTGTATGTGCAGTTGGCAGCATTACATGTACAGATCATGTAGTGTTGTTTTTCCATACAGCTGTGAACTGTGTTTGTCTATTAGATAAGCTGCTTTCCTGCCCATTCAGTTTTTCCAAAAGGAAATGGCATCACACATCGTTGTGCGCACACACATTTTCACAAACATATACACACGCACACACACACACATACGCACACACTAAAGTGCACGAGTTATCCTGTGCTTCCTTCCTTGTTCTGTCAGCGTGATTGTTGCCCTCGCTCTGTGACCTCACTGCAGGGTGCTTCCTCTCTCAGGGGTCATGTGATCTAAGTCAGTCAGCTTCCTCGTAAATATCCTTCTGTACTTTGATCCAAATATCACAGGGAAGGGGTAGACACACAGGGGTGTTTATTCTAAAGGTCAGCGTGAAATGGTTGTGATCTCACACCAGCACACCTGTAGTGAGCTGCAAGTGTTGAAAGA